GCATTATTTGCTCTATCATATACATAGATGCATATATATATATATATCTGATTAGTACTTATCTTTATGTTGGCTGTGTTTATTGAAGATTTTCATTCTGCTCATGATAAGCTAATGAATTTATATTTCTAAGTGTGCTTGATAATGATCTCTCACAAAAACTAAAAAGCTTCACACCTTTGCATCAATCATTTTCATTCGTAAAAATGCACTCACATGCACACTCGCCCTTTGTGACTTGAGCATTGTTATAAGCAAACTCATTAGTTGAATACATAGTTAGTTTTGGCATACTTAGTCGTAGATAATATTACATATAGTTTCACTTTGACGTTTTCTTTGCAAAAGATCCAGATTAATACCTATTCTGCAGCATTTATTCTTGCCACATATATGTGATTGATACCACCATTGGGATTCTGGAAGTAAGCCAGGATGGTCGTCTGTGACGCGTATCATTACTCCGGTGCAAATGATTGGAGATGTAGGGTCATTAAAGTCTAAGTTACGTCTATTTTTATGATCAATTACCCACTCGATCGCTTCGTTTTTTATATTAGGGTCGATCCTAGCACCTTTGAAACGTAGTGTTTCACAACCTATTCTCTTGATATCATTTGGATATACACGACATTCTAATACAAATTGTATGTATGCACCTGATTTGAAAATTTTTCGAGCTGCTTCAGAAATAGGCTTAACTTCAGCGTATCTTGGATGACATGCATAGTTAATAGATGGAGTAGTGTATACTCCATCTCCAAGTGCCTTTATTTTTGCCGGTTTCATCCCATTCAATAGAATAGATAAGCCATATTCAAATTTTGTACCATGATAACATATACACCATCCTTTAAATTTCTGATCAAAGTTATCAGTAACATAAAATGACCATCTTGTCCATCCGAGAGGACAGTAGTAAGGTTGATTTCCACGATCTTTGCCATCATTAAGAGGACCTGACCAGAAATCACGACCACGAGTATATACACGGTTAAATTGAGGATTTAACCTAATATTTGCGTGATGTCGTTGCATTCTTAATAAGGAGTCTTCTTGTCCCAAAAATATGAAAAACATGTTTATTTTTCCCAGTTCTTCTTGTAAAGTATCTGTGCATGATTGAAACATAGACCGTAAGACATTTTTTTTATCTTTCGGTTTAATTTTACCATAAATTTCAAATGTTATTATGACTGAACCTGCTTGTATTTTTCTGATCCCGACATCGTCCATGCTTAAATTGAATTTATCACAAAAATTAATGGCAAAGTCGTGTAAATCGAATTTATCACAGTCTTCATCAATACCCAGTTTTAGTATTGATGACTTTAACTCAGTAGTATTATCAAGAACTTCGTCAGCTACTGATATCAATGGTTTTCGTGTGATATGATAATATTCTTTACATTTATCATAATACGCCTTTTCCTCGGGCAATAACTGTTCTCTTGTAAGAAAATCTTTTGTGGCTAGTCTGGTTGGTGTCTCTAAAATAAATAATGAATGCAGCATAGTTGCAGAATTAGCTTAAATAATGTCTTAGAAATAGCAAGGATTTATCTGTTTAATTTAGTAAGACTATCCAAATAACCTTTTGAATCAGTGTAAACTCTCTACTATCAACTTTTCCGAAACTTATTTGCATTATGTATCAATGCGATGTATCATTGACACATTTTATGAGTACTATAGATTATTTGCTATAAATATTTTTCTAAGTCTATGGTGCAATGCATCGGGATATGTTGTTACGTCTACTTTTTCAGAATATTTCTAGTTCAAAAATGATTTTCTCCAATCTCAGCCGGGGCCTGACCTGACGTGTATGGAGACCGTCGTTTAGGTTGAAATTTTCGAAATCTTGATGGATCAATAGAAGTCTTGCCTCGAAATCGGTATTGGATTTGAATAACCTTTTCATTCGATCTTACATGACATTATGTCTCATTGGTAATATGAGGCAGTCTCCTGGAGCCTTTCATGAGTACGTCACCATTAGGGTGTTAGTGTAGGTGTTGCTAGCCTACTCATACACCCCACACTCACATCCCACCCACAGCCACAGCCACTTCCACTCACATCAACACTTCACACTCACACTCACATCCTCATAAGGGACTCAGAAGGTTCATAGAAGACAGGTTTTCACTAGTTGATGCAAAGTCTTCCTAACTTACTTTCAACTGCATTCAAATACACTTGCTGATGTTGATGCAACTTGTTATTACATAATGGCTTCTGCTTTCGAGCACTTTCCCTGTATACATCATTTACTATGCATTGAAAAATGTCACCGATATGAATATTTTCTTGAGATAAATATTTCAACAGGTATTTTGTGAACAAACTATTATGATCTGATTCCGAAATATCTCTCGCTGTTTGGACAGAAGCACAGAAAAGCTGGGCAAATGCACTGGAAGATGATTTCATTTCATGGAAACCGATGCTCCCAACTGTCGCTAAAGGACAAGAAATTATATGTCCCAGAGTTATTAAGGATGCTACTTACCACTGAATGCTGATGCCTTTTTCAGAAAATATGGCCTGCTACAGTCCAATATAGAAATGGTTACGTATGATGGATTCTTACTCAATAGTCTCCCGAAATTTCGATCATAGTTAACAGCAAAGTCTTCGAAGTCCCTATCAGTTGTTATGTCGGCATCATCAGTGGGTATCAAATAGTTTTCGCCATTCACTTGATTGCCATAGCCCGAAAAGTAGAATAGGACCAAGTCACCATCACGAATAGCGTTGGTAAAATCAATTATTTGTGACTTCATTTGTTCCATGGACAAATTATACGCTGTTGTCACTTGGAAACCAATTGTCTTAAGCAAATCACTTCGATCGCGAGCATTGTTGACAGCTTGGATTTGAGTGTTTTGGGCCTCACTGTGATTTCCATTGCCGATGATTAAAGCTAACTTTTAACGAACAGGTGAATTATTGTTAGAAGTTGCCATTTGACAACTAGATCTAAAATATCATGTAGAGTACTCTTTATTTCTTGTAATACTAGGAGGGTGTACTCTGGAAAAAACAAGGTATCATACGGAATCAAAGATAGTTTCATGCGCTCTATGGAACGTAAAAAGGATTCCGTGCAAAGTTCGAAACTTAAAAAAGGTTTCGAATTCGTTGCAAAAAAGGTTCCGTACGGTACCATGTTTTTTTTAGAGTAGGTGTGGGTGCAGATGAAAATAAATAAGAAAAACTATATCTATACCCACATTACTATTCATGCTCACACCCACATCCACACCAAAATAAGGTGTAATTGATTGAAGCCACGATCAGAAATATGGACTTTCTGCTCACTATACGGAAAGTTGCCCACCTACTACTTTATCATTGTGTTGCTGTAGTTAAGTGATAAGTGGCTGGATAGGTGCGAATTCAGATGTGCATTTTGGATGGGCTGTGCTGATGTATACACATGTATAGATAGACGTGCACCAAACCCAAACGGTTTGAGTTTGGCTTCGATGCAAAGACTACACGAGTAGTTCATTTTTGAATTTGGATCTATATCTAGTAATCTTTATTTCTTCGTATACTTGTTTCTAACTTATAAATACTACTCAAAGAAGTATAATTCAGTGATATTCAATTAGACTGCAAAGGATAGTCTTCGTAACTTTTTAGAAATTGTCTTCGGGTAGTAATTATAAAATTGTAGAGATTACCTCAGTGATATGTCTGTAATTTTTTGAGGGTTATCTGAAAGGAGTACCTATGGCTTTTTAAGGACCGGTTAGGGGTGCTAATAATAATTTTTCAGATATATAGGAAAGGTACGTGTAACTTTTTCACGCTAGTTGCTAGTAATGCCATGGAACTTCGAGCACTATCGTAAGCTAATATCTATATTTATTAAGGAACATCTAAGGATACTACTCGAAATCTTTCAAGTATCATCTTTGGCACTGCTTGCGATTCTTTGAGCTCTCCCATACAATGGAAAATAATATATGTAGCACTCCAGCCAACCTTAAAACTGTGGACTGCATGAGTGTTAAAATTTTGTGAAGTCCTGACAGTTCTTATGATAGAGAGAGACAGCTTCGGCTATACGCTATCTCAATTTCACACAATTCCACTCATTTTCCTCCCAAATTACCCTCCAAACCTAAATTCAGCTTTTCATTTAGTTGTATCACTTCACTCTATCTCCAACTTTAGCACTGACTTCGTCTCAACTGCAAATTTAGTTCTTTTGGAAAATTCCTTGCAATGATGACTTTGCGAATTGATAATGTAGCCAATCTTATCGAAAGAAATAAATCTTTTTTGCAATCTCTTCTAAAATCAGTGTTGTACTCTCGTTTTTTCTTACTTCACTCTACAAGTTACCAATTCAACAGGAGTTCAACTGAAGCTGACGAGACACATCAGCTCCAACACTCTTTAAGTCAACAGAACTCCACTCTCACCCCATCCTTGAATTAATAAGTTCTATTCCAACTTCAATATATAACTCTAGCTCTACTCCAACTCTCTAGATCAATTAACAACTTCAACGGCAACGCCATCCTGGCTATTCCCGGTGCTACTTCAATTTCAGTTCAACTCTTATGGTGAAGTGCCGAACCGGCAATTAACTCGGATTTGTAGTGAGAGTTGCGTATTTCTATCTTATAAAACCCCATAGAGTCCTTAGAAGCCTTCTACAGTGTGTTTGAAATCTAATGCAGTCTGATGATGATTCATTAAATATTTCCAAATCTTTACGGCCTTCTAAAGCTTGTTGAAATTTTCGAGAAGCTCTCAAACTCTTACAGGTCGTATTTTCACTCTCGACACCGAATACCCTGGTATTTTTGAAGGTACCATCTCTATGTTGTTCTACAAAATTTTCAATTTACACCTTGAAGTAGCCATAAAAACTTACGATTACTACCTTCAGCAAGGGAAAAATAGTGAAGACTTCGGTCTTCAAGCCATATGAGCTGTAAAAATCTGGTAGAATCTTCCGACGTGTTATGGAGAATGTAGAAGTCGTGAGGCCATAGTCTTCAATATATATACAGTTTTCTTGAAATCTCATAAGTTCCATTAAGTTTCTGGAGCTCATTTGAAGTCTTTACCTTCTCTGTTTTTCCTTCGACCTCCAAACAGTCTGTGAAAATAGCCAAAAATCATCTCAAGATAGCTCCTAAAAAGCTCCAGGTATTTCTCCAAGAGAGAGCCTAAAAAATTGACATATAGTGCTCAAAGATAGCGCATAAAAATAGACAAATCCTATACTCTATAGTCTTATCTGATAACAATGAATTGTACTTCTTTCAGTAGTAGTCATCAGTTAGAAACAAGTGCACGAAGAAAATAAGGTACCTAGATCTATAGACCCATATTCAATAATGAATTATACAAGTAGTCTTTGTACCGAAGCCAAACCTACACCCACATCCACACCCAAACTCAAACATCCAAACGCAAACTCTCAAACGGTTTGAGTTTGGTGCATCCATAGTCAATGACTATGGATGCAACTACAAAACAGGTTGGTTTGATGAGAGCATGAATGGGACGTAGAGGAGGGCGAAAATAATGGCATTATTTCATGCGCTGAACTGATAGTGAGTGTTATCAAAGCGGTTGAACGAAAAAGTAGCGATGATCCGTTCACTAATGAATGGAAATCCGAGCTTTTACTTACGTTGACATTTCGAAATACGGGTGCATTTCACAACGTGCTAGCAGTGTAAATTGCAGCTATTACTTACAAAGATTTAATCAGCTGGATTCTCAGACTACATGATTTTTGCAACAGTCAGTGTTGTTTACTCGAGGCTGCTATTGAATATGCATAAAAAAATAGGATGTGTTTCGTAAATGCGAAAGCAAACAAAGCTCGCGTTCTGTTTTACGTTCTTCTGATATTTACTGTTGTTAATCACCAAAAATTGCTTCAAAATCTTTGAGAACGAAATCATCGTGTTGTTTTTTGAACGAGCAGAAAAGAATGACGAATGCTCACCCACGTTCTGTTAAATTCTAAATTTTGTCAGCGAAAAGAAACTGTTGTG